AAGCATGTTCTGAATCCTAAATTATTATCCCAAAAATCGAGTGTTCTCTGATTTTTTAAACAAATGTCTGCTGGAACAAATTTTTCTCGAAAAATTCGAATAACTCGAGAACGACCGAATCAAATTACAAAAAGTAAAGTTACTCATAATCCTTGAAAACACACAAATCCAAATATGTAAAAATATACAGGGTGTTCCATTTAAAAAAATAAAGTAAGTGGCAACTTCCGGTATAACCGGAAGTGCTAGAAGCCTGAAAATATTTTAGTTGAAAAGAACGCTATTGATAATAGTTAAATCTGTATTTTCAAATTTTTATTTTGGCCAGAACCATAGAAACGTCTAATGGACGTTCGTTGTGGATGACCCTGTATTAGTAAGAAAGCTATTGAGACGTTTTGAGATATAAAAGACGGCAACGTAAGAATCGTACTAATACTATTATTTTATATGTAGCTGTATATAAATTAGTATAAGACCCTTTTTTGAATTTGTGAAGTAACTTTATATATTTATGTTTTGCGGCAAATGATAAAGCTGCAGCTTCACAACGTATTGTGTCTCTGTTACTATAATTTACAAGTTTGCCTCCAACATATTTAGCTACAGCGGAATTGTATGATTCAACAATATTAGTATCCACGTATATCAACAAATTTGAAACATTTTGTGCTGTACGAGTTAAAGCCTCCTGAATATTTGTCCAGAGACCGCATATTTTCATTTCTTGGACAAGTGGGTTGGTAAGATAAGGTGCCTGGCAGAAATAACCCAAACTTTGACATTGTCGATGTTCATTGAAAATATGTGATGGTGTATTTTCTATATCCTTAGACAAACTTATAATTTGTTCAGCTTCACTTCGACCTTCATTTTTTCTATGCTGAATGGCTTTAATCACACTTATGCAGATTCTCGGAATATATTTCAATAATTCCTCGCGAAGAAAGAGTGGAACTTTTATTCCGGTAGAACTGTTGTATTTCCTTGTTTCTTTAATTTTCCACACATATTTCGCAAAATGTGGTTTTTGCATTCAATTTTTTTAATTAGAGTTTTGTGACCATATGGTTGACCATAATAGTATATTTTAGCGTAGAGAACGATATCGGATTCCATAGCGGTACTGCTTTTGTTAAAATATTTATAACATTTATGAGCTGGTATATTTTCTCCCTTTTTTAAATATATTTCACAATATGATCAGTATTTATTGCGAATTCCTACGAATAATTGTTTTTCTGTTACTGCTCCTATAATACAGGCAACTCCCGATTGCGCGTTATAGTTGGTTTTATGGGACCAACTATACCATCCGAATCGATGTTACCTAAAACCGATAAATTTATAAAAACTGATTGTTCATAAGAAATATAAAGAAATTTTTTTAAACTGTCATTTCCCGTTTTAGAAGTTAAAAAATATCTGATATTGTGTGTCTATGTCAATTGCTAATATGTGTACCAAAATTTCAATGTAACAACAATTAAATCATGGCACCCTTGAGGTTTTTTCAATTGAACATATAATCGATTTTCAACGTGTTTGACATACCAGCTTGTGCAGCTATTGTATGTTCATCTCGGCCTGCCGCTTGCATGGTTTCCAATAAGTTATTATGAACATTATCGCCAAAAGAATTAAAATGGTCATAAAATGTATAGATTGACATAGGAGGAATATTCATATGTGCCAGTATTTTATCAAGTTGCGAGAAACCGCAACTAACAGAGACAATCCCGGTAACTGCCGCCGCATTTGCGTCTAAAATGTCGTTGTTATTGTCCAAAGAAACTTCAATGTTTTTGTTACACATTACACATTAAAACACTACGTAAACCTACACGTTTTTCTTGTATAAAATCACAATTTTGCCATCCACAACTAAATGGGGTATGAACGGATTCCATTATAATTTGCTGAAATAATGAACCGATTTCAACAATTCTGCGTCCAGTCAACAAGGTGCCAAACTTTTAGTGGACACTGTATCCTCAACATTGTTGTCATTATCAGTATTGATATCACTTGTGTTGGATTTTATATTACCCATCGCAGTGTCTAGTGAAGTAGACGTATGCGGTGAAACAGTCTCAGGACTCTCTTTATTTTTTTGCTGTATTAATCTACCAAAGTATAATTACTGTAGCAATATCGATATTTAATAACCAAGTACGAAATATGCAACCTACAGAGTGTCTTACGAGAGTGGAAAATAGGATTTTATAGCGAAACTACAGCAGCAATGGATACTGACTGCTTGACATATCGATGGGCAAAATATGTTAATGTTTTAAGAGGGTTATTACGTCTCCATCATTTTATGTTACACCGGAACTGGCTACTAATTCACTATTTTAATGGAAAATGTAAAATTTTACTTCGCAGTTGGGTGCATTATTTAATTATGAATCACTTTCATACGATAAATTTGTATCGTTTAAGAATTTTTTTTAAATTGTCTTTCAAAAATGTTTTTATTTTCTGGAAAACTAAACGATGCAAAGATTCGAAGAAAATTTTTTTTGCAATTTAATTGTCTATAATAAATGCTAAATAATCCGTGTGACACTTGTCTATTTACGTAATAAGTATACTAATATTTATTACCTTCTTATACGAGATTTCATGCTAATTTTAGGTTTTCTATCGCCATTGTTTATAAAGTGTCACCGAAAATTCAAAGTAAAATAAAGTATAAAGGCCTATTCACACTATCGATCAACGACCGGTCAAGTCACGGGCCGGTCACGGTCAAAGCAAAATTTCTTTCCTACTAAACGTATGCATTTCACGGCAGTATATTCACACATGCGGTCTTTTTGCGGTCATGTGACCGCGGCGATCATTTGAAAGGCCTATTCACACTATCGATCAACGATCGGTCAAGTCACGGAGCGATCACGGTCAAAGCAAAATTTCTTTCCTACTGAACATATGCATTTCACGGCAATACAGGGTGTTCAGAAATTGGCGGATAATCTACACGTAGCGACATTTTATGACCGATTCTGAATCGAAAATCTTAATGTGAAAATGTTGTTCTACTACGTTGAAAAATGTCTTTTTCCTGAAGATGTTATAATGAAAAAATGTTAAAAACGCACTTTAAAGCAAAACAAAATAACTTGAACAAAAAAAACTAGTTTTCAAAATTCTTTTTATTCCAAATTATAGCTTATTTATCAACACATATTGAATATTTATGATTATTTATGGATAAATTATCCGACCTTTGAGAACCTCGTGAAAATGTATGAAGCATGGTACAACATTTTGCAATTAAGATTTTCGCTTTAGAATCGAACGAAGAATAACACTACGTGTAGATTATCCGCTAATTTCTGAACACCCTGTATATTCACACATGCGATCTTCTTGCGGTCATGCGCCGGTCATGTGACCGCGACGATCATTTGAAAGAATATTTGACCAGCTCAAACCTGTTGATTTCCGACGAGTGCCTGCAAGTCAGAATTCCATTGTAAAAAAGGCGGCAAAATGAAGCGACAAGGAAAATTGTCGTGTGAAAATGATGAAAAGTTAATAGAAACTGTACGCGAATGTACAGAATTATACGATTTTTCAAATAACAAATATTCAGATAGTGTACACAAAGCAGATGTGTGGAGGGACATCGGGGAAAAAATAAAACAAGGTAAGTAAATACTTTTTATATACTATTTATATAAGAGGTTATATTATACAGGTTAGTACGTACAGTGTATTCCGGATATAACGAACCCTCAAGGGACCTGAAAATCGGTTCGTTATAATCGAAGTTCGTTATAAGCAATAATTTAAAAAAATCATGAATTAAATTTATTTAAATTGCAATTGACAATAATCTTGTAATATTAAATTGAATGAAATTAAACAATTTGGGAAGAAATTAAAGGAAATCAGTAAGAATAAATGGTAAATTATTAAATAGAGACATTTTCGGGACTGTTACGTTCGTTCGTTATATCCGGAAGTTCGTTATAACCGGGTGCGTTATAACCGGCTTACACTGTATTTGAAAATAATAAGTATTCGTTGCAAAAAGTAAATAATAATATTCTAATATTAACAACAATAAATATTGCGTGGTAATAGCTTTGTGAAATATTTATGAAAAGTTTTATATCTTTTCCAACTGCCAAGGTACAGATCCCGACTCCGAATTGAAAAAACTTGTAAAATTTTCTCGGACAAAAAATGCTTGTTGTTGAGCGTTGCCACCTTGCTTTTGAAAATTTTCAAATATACACTGATTTTGTGCATTCACTTGTGTATCGCTTTCAGAGTGTGACAGGTTATTATTTCGCAAATAGTTGTGTAAAATACAGGTAGTTAAAATAATTTGTTCGACATAGTCCGGTTTGGAATGAATAGTTCGAAAATAAATTTTGTATCGTTGCGTTAAAATGCCAAACGCATTCTCCACAACACGTCTGGCACGACAGTGACGTTAATTAAACACCCTTTTTTCTATGGCATCACATGTTTGGGTTTCTGGGTATGGGCGTAGTAGATTGACTTTCAAGGGAAATGCAGAATCCCCTAATATGTTTTGTCTCTACTTATAATAATTAAGACACCACTTTAGTTAACTGTTTATTATCAATTACTGTTACAACTATTACACACGTTCATCTAGTTGTCTAATACTAATGCGTATACTATCCGAAGCACATGCACATGCAATCCATGTTGCATACATAACACCTTCCCCTTAAGTCATTACAAAGTCTTTAAATTTTGCTAGAAGTTTCGGATGTCTTACACTTCTCCTTAAACTGGTATTCGGGTCTACATCAGTCTTATCATTTAGGTTACAATTTGGTATTGAGTCACAATCAGTTAATTCAAGGACGGCCTTAAATGGTAGCTATTCCTTCTAATTAACTGATTGTTACCTTTATCAATAATATATGATTTTGGCGTATCAGCTTTACTTATAACTTTAGCATTAACCCACTGTTTTGTTCCCTCTTCACGTACTACCACATTATCTCCTAGGCTTTTCTTTCTTTAGTTTTATTGTCGTAATACTGTTTTGCCAAATCCTGTTTTTTAAGAATTTTTTCTTTAATTTTATTATTGTTAACTTTAGGTGTTGTGGATAACGTTAAACTAGGCAACTTAGTTCTGAATTTACGGTTGGTCAAAATCAGAGCAGCTGTTAAACCAATTCCTATTATAGCTGTATTGCGATAATTTAACAAAGCTAATTGTAAATCACAACCCTTTTTTAAAATCGATTTCGCAATTTTGACCGCACTTTCAGCTTGATCATTTGACCTAGGATATCGAGGACTACTTGTCTTTACTTTAAAGCCCCACTCTTCCGAAAACTTTCTAAACTTATACGAACCAAAAGGCATATTGTCAGCTATTAATTCCAAAGGGATTCCGTGCGTGGCAAATACTACTTTAAATTTATCTATTAGCTCAGTGGCTGTTTTGCTGTGTATTGGTAGGATTTCCAGCCATTTTGAGAAATAATCAACAATTACCAAATAATCTTTCGCGCCATAACTGCAAATGTCTGGTGCCAATTTAACAAACGGTTTGTTTGGAATTTTATGATTAATTAACGGCTCTTTGATGTTTGCAGGCCTATACCTTTCGCAGATATGACATTTTCTGACATAATGTTCAATATCGCTATTTAGTCCCGGCCAGTATACTGAACTTTTTGACATAGATTTCATCTTGACTATGAAACAGTGATCTTCATGTAGCACATTTAAGATATCATTGCGTAATCTAGTAGGCACAACTACCCTCTCCTTATAAAATAGCAAGTTCTCAACTAAATGCAATTCGCGTCTGATATTAAAGAATGTATTCATATGACCCTGAAATTTTTTCATAGGCGAACCATCCATGTAATACTTTTTTACTGTCGCAAGAATTTGATCAGCATTTGTTTCATTCCTAAACATTTGTTTTTTCTCCTCTGTCATATTTATGTAATTCTTTACACTAATAGTATGAATAACTTCTAACATGTCTGGATCATCATCTACACTATCTTCCAAAAAGGCTCTCGATAGAGTATCCGCCACAAACATAAATTTTCCCGGTAAATATTGTACTTTAATATCATATTTAAGAAGTTTGATTTTTAGACGTTGTAGTCTGGGTGATGCAACACTTAAAATACTTTTAGTCATTATTGCTACCAGCGGCTTGTGATCTGTTAGCACAGTTACAGTTCTACCATAAACAAAAAGATGAAATTTTTTAATTGCAAAAACAATCGCAAGGAACTCCTTTTCAATCTGTGCGTAATTCTTTTCTGACTCAGTTAGTGATCTCGATGCAAAACTGACCGGTTTACCCTGCTGAAGCAAGCAACACCCCAACCCGTCCTTACTCGCATCAGTTTGAATTGTAATTTCAAGCGTTTCATCAAAATTTCTTATAATCGGAGCGTCACATAGCAAATTTTTTACATTATTCAAACAATTTTCATGACCTCCAGTCCAAACAAATTCAATGTCATTTTTCAGTAATTCCCGAAGCTGTGCTGTGGCTTGTGCAAAATTTGGGACAAAACCTCAAAAGAAATTCAACATACCCAGAATTCTTTAGAGGTCTTTTTTATTCTTGGGTGCCTCTATTAATTTAATTGCCCTTCCACGCTCTTCGTCAATCGAAATTCCCTTATTTGAGAACAACAAACCCAAGTATTTAACTTCGTTAACCCTAAACTGAACCTTGTTCTTGTTAAACTTTACATTATTGTCCCTGGCCCTTTTTATTACTTCGCCCAGAATTTTATCATGAGTCTCTGAACTGTCAGCAGCTATTAGTAAGTCATCAAAGTAGACAATGACCCCCTCAATATCACCAAATATATTTTGATTTATATTTTGAAAGTACTCCGGTGCCAAATTCAGACCAAACGGTAGCCTTTTAAATTTGTAATGTCCAAACGGCGTACTAAATGAACACAAGTCACTCGACTCATCCTCTAATTCCACATGATAAAATCCATCTTTAAGGTCAAGTACAGTAAAGTACTGTTTGTTTTTTAATTTGTTACTAATTTCATCCATAGTTGGTATAAGACAGTGCTTGCGTTTAATCACCTTATTTAAGTCCTGTGGGTCAAGGCGAATACGTAATGAGCCATTAGACTTTTCTACTACAACCAAATTGCTCACCCAACCAGAAGGCTCCGTTTTTTCTATTATCCCCTGACTTTCTAATTCACTAAGTTTTTTCTTTGACCTATTTCTGATAGTTATTGGAACCCTTCTAGGTGGTCTTACAACAGGAATCGCTCCTTCTTTAAGTTCTATTTTCAATTTATTTTTGAATTTACCCACACCAGTAAAAATATCTAAATTCCCATTAATAAAATCATCAACCTGATCATAATTTAAGGTATTCACTCGTTTTACTAAGCCTAGCTCTAAACAAGATTTCAACCCCAACAATGCAGTTCCTTTTATATCAGTAATAACAAACTCAAGAAATTTTGTAATATTTTTAGACTTACAAGGTAATACTACAATGCCTAGTGGCTTTATTTTTTTACCTCCATATGCTTCTAATACTAGTTTACTAGTTTTAAAATCTACATTCTCTATAGAATTAATCTTATCATAAATTTGCTTAGGCAATACATTGACCTCTGCCCCTGTATCTAACTTAAAACTAATTGAGCTACCACTGACTTCAATTGTTTCTTTCCACTCGCTGACTTTACTAATTTCACTCATAGATTTTATTTTCTTCCCATCCTGAGCTTTTCTAGGGAAATTTCTTTTTACCTTGATTGAAGATAATTGCAAACACTCTTCTTCTTCTTCACTCGATCTGCTATCTTCTTTTACTTCTCTTACCTTCTTCCTTTCATTCTGTTTACATCCAACTGCATAATGATTGTATTTTTTACAAATCTTACACTGCCTACCATATGCTGGACAGTTTCTTGGCCCATGTTTTCTTCCACACTTTCTACAATCATATTGTAGAAACCACCGACAGAAGTTCTTTCTCTATCATAGCATAGTTTTTTTCTGCTTTTGTAAGTGTTCTAGATGCGTATGCTACTACTTGATTTTCTTGAAATAAAACTACTCCTAATCCTGATGAACTTGAATCACATTCCATAACAATTGGTTCATTTGGGTTGTAATATTTTAACGTTTCAATATTTGCTACTTTCTTTTTAAGCTTTTCGAATTCTTCATCTTCATTTTTTCCCCAAATCCACTTTTGATTATTTTGTAATAGCTTTCGTAAATAAACTGAACTTGTACTTAGATTTTTTATAAACCTGCTAAGATATGTAACCATTCCCAAAAACCTATAAAGATCTTCTTTATTTACTGGTTTAGGCATATTTTGAATTGCTTCAATCTTTTGCTCGTCAGCTCTTAATCCGGAATTACTTAAAACATAACCATAAAATTTTACCGAATTTTGACACAATTTCAATTTTGACTTATTTAATTTACAGTTGTATTTTCTTAGTCTTTCGAACAATTTTCTAAGATTAGAATTATGATCAATTATTGCGTCTTTCATAGTATCTCCTGCTCCATAAATCAAAATATCATCGGCCATAACTTCTACACCTTTTAAATCATGTGTAATTTCATACATTTTCATTTGAAATATTTCAGGACTTGTTGATAAACCAAATGGTAATTTTACCCATCTGTAACGACCGTAAGGTGTCCAAAAGCACGTTAATTTGCTACTTTTTGTATTAAGTTTAAGTTGCCAAAAGCCTTTTTTCGTATCAACTGTCGAAAATACCTTCGCCTTACCTAACTCAGGCAGTACTTCGTCTATTGTCGTGAATTGATAATGAGGTCTTTTGAGTGCTTTGTTTAATGGAATCGGATCGAGACAAACACGCAAGGTTTTTTGTTTCTTTACAACTAAAAGATTACTCACCCAGTCTGTGTTTTGTTCTTCTTTAACAATAATTCCATCTTTTTCTAGTTTATCCAATTCTTCTTTAACTTCTTTACGTAAACTTAGAGGAATTCTTCTTGCTGGTTGGATTGTTGGTTTTACCATCGGGTCTACTTCCAAATCAACTTCCCCAGGTAATTCTCCATAGCCTTCAAATAGATCATCATATTCCTTTACAATGTTTTCAGCATCCTTTATAAGATTCTGGTTATCTTCCTGTTTATGAATAATTACTTCATTGCAAAACTTAACTAGTCCCAAAACTTTACTAGCATTTGCAGATAATAACGGTCCGTGTTCTACATCAACAATTTGAAAAACAATATTATAAATTTTATTTTTATATTTGCAAGGTATTGTTGTTTCCCCTTTAACCGTTATTGGTCCTCCAAATCCTTTCAACTTGTAATTAGAATTTCGTAAACCTGGTTTTTCATTTTTAAATTGTCTTATTATATATTCATATCCCATCAAACAAACATTTGATCCTGTATCAACATCGCATGAAACTTGTTTCCAAATGTTGTCAAACTTCAAATTTAAATTCGCAGTCACGTTTCCACCAATTGCAGAATTATCTTGAATTTTATATACTGTAAAATCCTCTTCTTTTGCCTCTTCTCCTTCAACTTCTTTAACTTGTTTATGTTTTCCTTTACCCTTTTCTGAATTTCTATCATTGAATTTTTTGTTCTTTTGATAGCAACATATTTCAAAATGACCTTTACGTTTACAAATTTTACAAAAATGTTTTAATGCTGGACATACATCTTTCTTAAATGGATGTTGTTTACCACAAAATTTACATTTTCTGTCATTTTCCTGACTTCGTCTTTCAATCTTATTAACTTCATTTGTATTTAGACTCTTGAATCTGTCATTTGTGATTTCATTTATTTTACATGCTTTAATAACATCATCCAAAGTTAACTTCTCGGGATCATCTTTAAGAAACTTCTTTGTTAGTTCTTGATCTTTAATACCAAATGCAATACGATCTCTTAACATCACATCTTTAATTGTCGTAGGTTCTATCTTACTAAAATCACAATTATCTATATATCGGGATAATCTAATTAAATAATCATCAAAACTTTCATTATCTAATTGATTGCAGTGAAAGAAATTGTATCTTTCATACATTGTGTTTCTTTTAAGCAAAATTTTTTCAGCCATTTTATTGAAAACTGATTTTACGGTACCTTTATCCTGTTCCGTTAATCCAAAATTATTATATTTTACCTTAGCTGCATCTCCGATTACTGCTAGTAATATTCCAACTTTTTGACCTTCCTTATCTACCCATTTATCCATTCCTGTGGCTTTTTCGTAATTTTCCCAATTATTTTTAAATAATTCGAAATTTTCTGTAAGATTTCCGTCGATCTGTAATGGCTTAGGCCAAGGAACATTTGTATTTTCGTTTGTTGAATTTAAACTATTTATTTGGCTCTGCATATCTTGTAATTGTTTGTTTAAGAGAGTTATGTTTTCTATCTGAACTTTTAGAAATTCTTCCATCATGAGTATACAGTTTTCACTCACCTTCTTTATTTATTTATTTTTTTTAGGTTAGGATCCTGATGTTTCGTTTAATCTCACCAACTTCTTAAAACAAATTAAATATCTATCGTTTTTTTTTTCTTTTAACTAACAATTATCTTTTAGTTAAATTGGTTAAACACAACCTGACACCATGTTTAATTTTGGGTTTTATTTAGGAACAAAGAACAACATGTTCTTAACGATAACGTATTTTATTTCTTGACCGTTACAACTTGTCTCTATCATTCTACTAATTCACCACTAGATGGCGTTACAAATAAACTATTTATTATGACACAATGCATTCAAAATGTTTTGGCAATATCGTGCCAATCGCTTTCAGTTGGCACTGGAATGCATGTAGCCAATAAATTGTTTACAATTGCTTTACATACTTCATGCACGATAGAATGCACCGTCGAATGGCCAAGGCGATAACTAAATGCTATCGTCTGAAACGAATCTCCGGTGGCAAGAAATCTGTAAGTAAAAGCGAGAATTATTACGCAAATTGTTGCCGTTTTAATATTATAAATTAACGTGATATTTATAAATTGCTTACAACGATTAAAATACTACTTTACGTAACAACACATGGTGGCAGTAATTCATTACCTATATACTTTTATGTTATACCTTTTTTTTTACAGATCCACAGATTTGTAAGCAGAGATGGGAATCTCTGCGATCG